TCCGAGACTTGAGGCGTCGTTTAACTATACGCTTGCCAATGGGGAACTCCCAAATCCTGGAAGGAGGCCGTAACAACAGTGATTCCAAAAGCAAGGAACAGTGATACCTACTTAATATAGACTTTAAATTATATGCGACGATTATTGCAAAAAGATATGAACACTTTATCTAGGATATTATAGATGAAGACCAGGCAGGCTTCATCAAGGGGCGCCAAACCCAGGATAACATAAGGAGAACCTTACATATAATAGTAAAAACATTAATGCAGCCTTGATAAGTCTTAATGCAGAAAAGGCATTTGACAGGGTAAACTGGAAGTTTCTATACCAGGTACTGGAGAAATCTGGAAGTGAAAAAGCTATTCAATGTGTTAAAACACTTTATCGTAACCCCACTGCAAGGATAAAAATAAACGGCAGTCTGACTGATAGCATAGCACTGGAGCGGTCCACCGGGCAGGGATGCTGTCTTTCACAGACTCTATATATATAATCTTTATAGAGCTCCTGGCAGAAGCAGTTAGGCTTATAATTATCAAAAATGTTTTTATTCATCACTGGACAAAAAAACAACAAGGATTTTGTAACAAAAAAAGAGCAAAAAGGATTAAATACACTGGTTAAGAGCAGGAAAATCATCCTACCACAGACAGTCTAATAGAAGTTGAGGAGAGGGCAGATTTAGATCCTAATGCTCATTGCTAAAAGTTTGAAGAAGACTGAAAATAAGTCATAATCAGTTTGTCAGTAATTAAGGCATTTGAGATATGTTTGCAAATTAGCTGCATTTTTAGCTTCAGTTCACTCTGATCACTGGATGAGTGAAGCTAAACTTATTATTTATTTAACAAGAGCACAGAGTTGGTCCTGAATGAATGGATTATCAGTCCTGTGTGGATCTCTGTGTGTCGGGTCAAATCTCCCCCTTAACACCTTTTTGGTCTTCTGAGGGCCGTCTGGGATCCGGTCATTGAGGACGGGGTTCTGGCACAGGTTGGGGGCAGCTTCTGTACGCCGACCCCTGGAGTTCCCCCGGCTGCCTGACCCTCGTCCCTCTGGTCCGCTCCCCTTCATCCTGTCAGTTTTCTGCTCGTCCCGCCCGCCATTGTGTGTTGTAGGTCCTTCTGGGATCCGTCCCTTGAGGGTGTGTGTGTGTGTGTGTGTGTGTGTGTGTGTGTTCGTTTCCTGTTTTATTTTGTAGTTTCCTGCCCATTGTGTCCCTGGGTTAACTTCACTTCCTGTGATTTTCTGATTGTTTCCACCTGTGTCCAATCACCTGCACCTTCCCAGTGTATATAAGCCCTATGTGTCTTATGTCCTATGTCCTATGTCGCGTCATTACTGAATGTCCTACCCTGAATGCTTAGCTGTTCCTGGTCCCCGGCTGCGTTTCTGGTGTATTTTGGGTTTAATAACATCGTTTTTTGTCAAGTCTGCGATTGGGTACTGCCTTTGCACACCCTGTTCCTGACAACCTGGGGCGGTATACCAGAAAGCGGGTTATGTGAAAACTCAGAGTAAGTTAACCCTGAGATCAAGGAAACGCTGAGTTATCCGTTAATCACCATGTCAATCACCATGGTAACAGACTCTGTGAACATAACCTGCTCGCTGGCAGGTTTACTATAAGAAACCTGGAGTTTCTACCCGTCTCCTCCTACATGAAGAAAGCTGGTAGACATGGATTGCCCATTCCAACCGAATCCAATTGACATTGAAGCCGTCGTGATTCAAAATGCTTTACGTCGCGAGAGAGTCTACGGACCCAGATTAGACTTTTTCATTTCCAGAGGAATTTCTGTTAGAACGCTACCGCTTTACTGGTAACTAGGAAACATATGGACGACATTTAATTCCTACAGTTCCACATACAAATTTAACATGGTATTGACCGAAAATCTCACGGTTTCAAGCTGTTCTGTAGACATTGATGGACCCTCCTCCTGGTGATGCCCAACCATGTTCTGTTCAAGGACAAGAATGTGCTAGTTAGCCATTATCTATGCTCATCACTTCAGTCTACATGTCAAACTCCACTCTAGAATGTGAATGGGAAGAGCACTGCCAGTAGATAATATTAAGAAGACACACTTCAGTAGGCCCCTCCGGATCTCTCCCTGTGGCAGCTGACGGCGTTTCCTCATCATCATCATCCTCTTCCTGTTACTTAAGATAATGTTTCTGAATACTTTTAACTACCATCTGAGGCAAGATTTGAGTATCTGCAGGGTTACAACTGTGCAGATGACACCATCTACAACTGTTGCATGGGTGGATATATATTAATTAAAAAGTAGGCTATATATATATTATATATAGAATATATATATATATATTATATTATTACTGTAGTGTCTCCTAAGTGGGATATTAAGTGAAAAGACGTGTAAAAACAACATTTTATTAGGGGTTTAATTTACTATTTCAAGTAGCCACTGAATTCATATTTACTTTGTTTAATAGCCGAAGTCAATTAAAGAAAATTAATTAAAATTAAAGTGAGGTGCAATCATAGCAATATTTGATTTTTGATTTGATTTGAAGAATTTTATTACTTGAACATGTAGACACCAAATAATAAAAAAATTTAAAAATCAACATAGACGTAGACCACAAAATGAGAAAATACATCTTTTGTTCAAGAAAAGGAGTAGGGGGAAGCAAAAGCTTATAGATACCCACCCCTTTCTTATCCATATTCTCAATTAGTATATATTACTTTGAAGATTAATATCATACATACATACACACACTCTCACCCACACACACGCACGCATACTCACACGCACAAATAAATACAATTTAAATTTCCTTCACTTAATATTTTCACAGATCTCATATTTGGCTAATGTGTATAATTTAAGATGTTTTTTGAACTGTGCAATATGTTTACAATCTTTGATCTCATCTGGTAAGTTGTTCCACAACTTCACCCCACAGACCGATATGCACCTGCTTTTGAGTGTAGAGTGCACCTTTGGTTGCCTCAGTTTCAGTCTCCCTCTTAAATTATAGTCTCCTAGTCTGTCGCTAAACCAACTTTGAATGTTTCCTGAGAGTAGGCTGTTTCTTGCTTTAAATACAATCTGTAACATTTTAAAATCTTTCAAGTCCATAAATTTTAATATATTTAATTTCAGAAATAATGTGTTTGTGTGTTCATAGTACCCCACCTTATTAACTATCCGTATTGCTTTTTTTTGAATTGTGCATATTGCCTGTAGGGTGCTTTTGTAGGTATTACCCCACACTTCCACACAGTAACTCAAATAGGGGGCAAACAGTGTACAGTACAGTGTATGCAGTGATTGTATATTCAATATATGTCTGACTCTGACTAGTATCCCTACACATCGTGCCAATTTTGATTGTACACGAGTGACCTGTGGCCTCCAGCTGAGCTTGTGGTCTATCTTTACACCTAGAAAGGAGTATTCAAACACCCTTTCGATTTTTATATTATCGATCATTAGTTCAATGTGTGTGTTTGCTTGTGTGTTACTTTTACCAAAGACCATAAATTTGGTTTTCTTTACATTAAGTGATAATCTATTTATATCAAACCACAATTTCAGCTTGGTTAACTCAGTCGAGACTGCCTCCAACAACTGTTCGAGGTTCCCTCCTTCACAGAATACATTTGTGTCATCTGCAAAAATAACATTTTTCAGGATCCTGGAAGCATTACTTATGTCATTTATATAAATAATAAATAGTTTTGGACCCAGTATTGATCCTTGCGGCACACCACAGGTAATATTTCTTAAGGTGGACTTCTTATCCCCTATCTGTACAAACTGTTTTCTTTGTCCTATGTAACTTTGTACCCAATTTAGTCCAACCCCTCTGATCCCATAGCTTTCCAGTTTGTGTAGCAGTGTATCATGGTTTATTGTGTCAAATGCCTTCTTCAGATCTATGAAGACCCCTATTGCCATCTTTTTGTTATCTATTGTGCTTGTCAGTTCTTCTACTAAGTCCATGAGTGCCAATGATGTTGATCGGTTTGGCCTAAAACCATATTGACTATCTATGAGTAATCCATGTTTATCTATGAAACTGTCCATCCTTGTAGCAAATATTTTTTCCAAAATTTTGTAAAATTGGGAAAGCAGGGAGACTGGTCTGTAGTTATTGTAAAGGTTTTTTTCACCTTCTTTAAAAATCGGAATTACCTTAGCAGTTTTCATTTTGGTTGGATATATGTCATAACTATGTTTTTATATTTCATATTTAGCTGCTTCCAGGTCCTTTTTCCTCCTGTTGGATTGCACCTAAAATGAAAATCAGATTACATTCCTGCTTATATTCATAACTATAGGCTGCGACAATCTTACGGTTAAATGTTATGTCAATGGAATAGTACGTTCAATCTTACGTGTTGACTCGGGCAGCGATTTCTACCCACGCAGTCTCTCTCTCTTTCGCTGCTGCAGCTGTATTGCATTTGCGGCGAAATATATCCTCATGCACACCGTAGGCCTGCAGAAAAACCTCCAAATTCATCGCAGTGAAATAGCTTGCTCTTTTATTTACTGTTGTCATGGTGACTCGTGGTATCGGGGCTCCATTGATGATGGCTTTTTATAATTGTCATGCACGCGCTTAACTCAAGGTGAACATACTCCGAGTTGATTGAATTAACGCAGATCAGCTGTTCTGGAACCGGATACTCAGAGTTTCCCGTCTCAGAGGAAGTCAACTCAGAGTTCAAGGATAGACTCAGAGAATAGACTCAAGGATAGACTCAGAGTTTGTTGAACCTCCTTTCTGGAATACCCCCCTGGAGGGAACATTTCCATATTTACAAACAAATAACTGCAGTTATTGTATTGTTCATCCATGTTGGAGGAATTGTTCTGGGACAATGTTCATTGTCAAAGTCTTGGGCTACGACATACCTAAGCATGTTTCTTTTGTTGTGGAATATTTCATTGTAACTAGTTCAGGAGAAGAGAATGATTTGTTTCTAGGTTTATCTAATGAAACAGTCTTGATGAAATGATCAACACTGTAAAAGTAAATTTATTGCTTGCCAGCAGGAAGGAACTCTGTGACAGTTAGGGTTAACTTCAAGATGGGGTAACAGTTTCTTTTTCTGAGAGTCTGTGTGAGAGCATGTTGACCCGCCCTTCTTCGTACACAGCAGCAAACGGAAACTTTGAGTCATTCCGCTTTCCACACGTTAAACTTCAATACAGACAATTATCACACTTTTAGCATAAGACTGTTATAACATGTTTTACCATTACACTTAAGTAATATGACAGGAGATGTCAGGTATCTGCTGAATATTCTGCTAGCAGCTAGTAAGAAGGCCACCACTAGGTGTACACTTCTACTTAACTCCCTAACAAAACCCACAAAAAAGGAAGAAGAGTCATGCTCAGTTTGTAAGTAATAAAGGCACGTGAGATATGTTTGCAAATTAGCTCAATTTTTAGCTTCAGTTCCCTCAACAAACAATGTCAAACTAATTCACCTCCCCAGAAACAAAATACATCAGCTTTGCCGCTATGAGGGCAGCAGCCCAGCTCTCCTCAGCGCCTTGTCCACACTGGGAATCAGTTTTTCTTGGAAGTCCCACAGTCGCTTGTCCTCATTCAGCTGCTTGAGGGTCAACGACCCACGCAGAGACACTCGGACATGAATGACTCGACAAACGTCCATGGGAACCTTCAACTGTTGTCCAGAACTCTTGAGCACTTCATGCACTGAAGTCCACTCCACCAACCTGTGATGCACATACACACAAAAGGCTTTGATTGGACTTTCCTTTCCACCAGGACGACCGCATGTATTGAGACTTGTAGATGAGTGAAGCTAAACTTATTTTTTATTTAACAAGAGCACAGAGTTGGTCCTGAATGAGTGTCAGCCTACCTCGGCTGAACGATCATCTTGTGCGGGTGGTATGACTGGCTGTCGGGGTCCTCCCTGTAGATGTGCTCCAGAATATTAACGCCCGGCACCCCGTTCCACTGAGGCAGGTGAAACCTCCCACTTGGCTCAAAATGTTTCGTCGGGAAGAGGTTGTTCTGAATAAGGTACACACCTGTCTATATAATGGAATACACCACATAAGATGAGGAGAGAATATAAATATGGATCAATATCAAATATAATCTTACGGTTCGAGTAATATTTTACAAATGGACACCAGAACAATCTCACATTTGGATGCTGTTGTTGGAGGACGTCCATCAGAGATGTGAGGTTGTTGTGTTTGTAAGGCATTATGATCTCGTCGATGTCGTTCAACAGCACGTAGCGTGAGCGGTCCATGGATCTGTAAATACATTCATTAAGTGTGGTCAACTGGCCGAAGTAGTGCACGTCCCCTCCGCTCTGTGAGAAGAGCCAACCAGGCGATGGATTCAGGTGCTGGTCGATGGGCCAGGGCACCATCTCCACGAAGCCCTCCTCGCTGTAGATCTGCAGCAGGCGATCGAGATCGGGGCCGCAGGTGGTGTTATAGATCACCACCCTGTCCACACCCAGTAACCTGTGGCCAGTTGAGGAAAAAAGGGTCCAATTTAATACCGTCCACACACACTGCTGAGTACATAACAGTGACTGAGCCACTGCTGCACATGCAGACGGCTTGGCCAGTTTAAGCGGGTTTTAATACCATTATACCATTTATCTTCAGCCTTTGTCTACATCATAATGTCTCCTGTTAAACAGAATGCAAAGTGTGCTGTGCTGACCTGTACATCTCCAGGGTCTGTGCAAACTGAAGCACGTTGTTGTAGTCTCCAAACAGGTTGGAGATGCAAACTGTGAAGTTAAACTGCAACTTCTCTTTTTCCTTCCCATTGGATCTCTTATTTCTTACAGGAAGCCAGGGTTGGTCAACTAGCCGGTCCTTTCCTGGCTGAGTCAAGAGATTGACATGTGTGGCGTTGCAGTTTTGGGGAATCTGACACATGACATCCGTAGTGACGTAGGGGAAACCAAAGTTGTCCGAGTGTTGTAAAATTGTTCCAGGAGTTGTACTTGATAACTTGCCTGCACAGCAGAAAACACAGTGCAGTTTTTGGATGGAGTCTCTCTTGAATATTCCAATGATGCGTACGTCCAAGCCATTCACTCTCTGGTCCATGTAGGCCGACACCAGCAAGTGCTTGGTGTTGTTGAGCGGGGTGATGCTTCGCTCAGAGATCTGAAAGGGGCAAGTGTACGGAGCCTGGTGCGGCGGTGGGATCATTCTGTACGTTCCTGGTGTTCTCTCAGTGATCCAGAGGATGAAGAAGAACATAAAAATGAGGAGGAAGAAGAACGCCCATCTGACACATTTTGGTTTGTCCATCCAGCCACAAATGTCACTGATTCCCAACCTTAGGGAGAATGCAGGAATCAGGAAACATTTAATACCAAAATATGTCAGACATACAAGGAATTTGACCTGGCGGTTGGTGCATAACAGCAGACAGTTAGACAAAGGACAACAAGACAGATAAGACAACATAGTGCAAGAGGAATAAAATAGAATATAATAAAATATAAGTCTATAGGTTAGTTTAAAAATGAAAGGATAACAGAAAAAAAAAGTTAAAAATAAAGTGCACCAGATAGCCATACTCTATACAACTGTGTTGTCAGCGTATGTGAAAGTGACAAGTGACAAGTTTATGTGCATGTGGAGTGTGAAGGGAGTGATTGGTGGAAAAAGGGATGTCAATGTTAGTCAGTGGGAGACCAAGGCTCTGTTGATGAGCCCGACTGCCAACGGGAAGGAAGTCTTGGTCCTGATGGACCTCAGCCTCCTGCCCGACAGGAGGGGCACTAACTAATTTTGACCGGGGTGAGAGGGGTCACACAAACCAATCTCAGTTAGTTTGGTGAAGTTGGCAAGATATTCACATATTCAGACATCACGGTTCAATAGCTGTTGTTAAAACACAAACGACACCTCTCTGTAACCCTAATTAACCCTAATTTTGCCAATATACGGACTAGTGCAGGAGCTGTACAAATCACATTGATCTTAATGAAGTCGCCTGTGAGACAAGTGCGCAGTGACCGTTTGCAAAGTGCAATGCCGAAAAACATACAACAGAAATATTGAATTACTTCACTATTATGAATGGTAGTATCACCAAAGCCATGTCATATGTCCAAGGGATTGTTCTTGTTGTACTACACCTGTTATTTTTGATGAAGCTTTTGCATTATTTTAATTAACTTAACTTAACTTAACTGACTTAATAACTTAATTCCAATGCAATGTAGTACCATTTAGTTTCACAACCACGACCACTGGATCTTATTTAATTTCCAGAAACCCGAATATTGGTTAAGGAGCACTTTCATGAATTAATATACACACAAGATCTTATATTAACTAAAGGATTCTTCTTAAAATATTTGACCCAGCTGTCATTGGTTTGGTCAAACTAGTGCTATTGTAAACCTACACTCACAGGCCACTTTAGTAGGTACACCTGTTCATTTGCTTGTAACACAAATTGGTATCACATGGCCGCAACTCAATGATGGTGGTATTTTTACGCATTGTACTTGGCAGACGGTCCCTTCCCACTCGCCTCAAAAGCGGCCGCACATTAAGACCAAAATGATTCGTCCAGCTCGCTGAGCGGTCTGTTTTGGTAAAATGATGGTTAATACGGGTTGTCGACATTAATACGGTTACATAGAGGTGCTGTTCGTGTTTTAACGTCGTTTCGCTGACGAGCTATTGAACCGTGAAGTCGGAATCTATAAATATCTTGCTAACTTTACCGAACTCTGCTTTGAAGGGCTGCAGTTACAGTCGCTGTAAAATAAAGGCTGGCGCATGCTTCTGCGTCTTTATGCACCGTCGTGTCGACGCACTCGTTTCAATTCATGGTTCAAAAAATCTAAAACGCCAGAACAATAGGGGGAGTAACGTGTTTTGTTGAAGACCACCTAGAGAGTCACGTCTTTGTTTGTGGAAGTCGTTGGTTTATTTATTTATCATCGACTTTTTTGCCCCGTGCATCGCCACTGCTGCTTTTCATCGCGGACACAATTGTCCCGTATTTTCCTCCACAACTTTGTTCACCCCCCGACCGGCACACCGACGTTTTCGGAGATCTCCCTCCATGAATCGGGAGGCCATCCGCGCGTCCTTATAGTCCGCCAACGACGCGTTGTAGAAGTAGTCATATTTACGCATTTCGTCCTACTGTTAATTCATCTTACATTCCTACACGTGTATAGTAGGATATATACGGTGTAACGGACTGTTGCTTCTGTTCCGTGAGCGAGTTACACACAAGTTCAGTGAAGGGCTCACAATGTTTTATGTCAATGATGCTTGTGCCGCCCATGGACATGTGTTGTGGGGATGTTTGTGGGTGGGTTAAGTAACGGAATGCGGGAGCGTTGCGGGGTTATGGAAGCCCATTTCCGCCACACAAAAAAAGAAGGGTCAGAAAGTCGAAATTATGACTTAATGAAGTCGAAATTATGACCTAAAAAGTCGAAATTATGACTTAAGTTATGCGCATGCGCAGGCTCCTTCGTTGTTTGTTACATTGACTTTCCAAACCCTCTTGGCGACTTCTTGTCAAAAGCGACCGGCGACCTTATCTGGTTTTATTGGAGACTTTTGTCGGACGTGACGTGACTGAAGCAGAAACCTGGCGACTCGCGGCGATCCAGTTGCAGTCGGAGCACGGAGGAGACCTACGTCACGTCCAGACCGGAATGAACGCGGGCATGCGCAAAGCCGCCGCTGATTCTGCAGCGTCTTTCCTCATTGAGAAATTGGCAACACTAGTTCAATAAAGAGAGAGCTCTCTTCAGGACTTTTCAATCGTTACTAATCACTATTACTACGGAATAAATACCACCCGGAACGTATTTTATCTCCCTAGAAGTATGATTTATTTCGGACTCGGAAATACCGAAGATAATTTAGACTCCGCTTGAAGTCTATACAAAGTAAAAGGAGTAGTACAATGGGTAAAAGGCCATTGACATGACATGGTTTTGGTTGTTCTACAGTCCATAACAGTGGGGCTATTGAACGTTATTTGCAATAAATATTGAAAGATAATCATAGAAAATAGTCAGAAGCAATTTCTATTCAAAGTAAAAGGTGTAGTACAATGGGTGAAAGCCCATTGACATATGCTATGATTTCTGTGGTTCTACGGTGAATAACAGTGGAGTTAT